AATATATCAGAGAACAAAAACACCAAAATAACCTGTATTTCTGTTCTATTTCTCACAAATAACAATCATATTCATCACATTAATGAATTCCTTAATTATTTCTAACTGTAAGAAGACAAAATTTGATAATCACGTCATGAGATAATAAGCGAGGACTTATGTTTAAAATTAAAAAAACTGAATCCGTATAATAATTTTCGATTGAGTACATCATGATTCTGATCACATATACTACCTTGACGTGGTGGTCAGGCTTGCCCATCGTAATGACCTAACTGAGCAATATTGCCTGGAACACCTGTTCCTTTAGGTCCTACCATGACAGGCAGATCGATTGGAGAACGATGAGGCTAAAAGCAGCTACTCGAGGTCTGAGGGCGAAGTCGTACTGCTGACTGTAGGGGGGGTGTGACAGCGGTAACGTTTCCCTCGGACAACCAGAATCTGCAAAAAAAAGGGGTTATAAAGGGTCAACCATAAGGGGAGACAGCTTAAACACACGCCGGTAAGAAGCCTACGGAATGATCGCAAACAGTGGTGGGTAACAAAAGCAAGGGAGATGAAAAGGGCAGCGGCGATAGGTAATGGTAGATAAGTATTCAAACTTACAAGGGAAATCGGTATTAGGAAACTAACTGTCAACGAGACTATCTCCGACAGAAATTGGCATATTATTCATTCTCAGTTTCGCAGATTGAATCGATGGGCAGAACACTTTAAGGGTCATCTCAAGTCGACCTAGTGACAAGTTGATGTAGGTACTCTGATTCCTAATGAAGTTGGAAAGGCTACCGGAAATCTGAAACAATGTAGAGCAGCTGGTCCTAACAGGCTAACTCCTGAGATTTTAACAGTTAGACTGACTGAGATCTTAGGTAGAATTCGGGAACTGAAAGCAATCATATCTGCCTGATTTCAATATCTGTCCTAATCAATAAGAAAGTACAAAAGTCCTTTTGTGACAATAATAGAGGAATCAGTTCACCAACTATAGTATCGAAAACATTGGCCTCAATAATACTTCGACGTTTAACTAGGGCTCGTGAAGAACAGATTCGAGAAAACCAGGATGGTTTCAGACCTGAAAGTGGCTGCACAGACCAGATGTTCACACTACGTCAGGTCTTAGAACACATACACACTTCGATGTCTGACAATTGTTGCATTACTCAACCTAAAGGCGGAGTTTGACTGCGTTGATCGTGAGGCTCTGTGAGTGCTTTTCATTAAGTCGTGTATCAAGTAAGCACATTTACCTCATACAAGCTCTCTACTCGAACACTACTGGTCGAGTCAAAACTTATGGCGAACTTTCATCAAAATTGGTTACTTCAAGTAGTGTTCGTCAAGGCCGTTCCCTTTCTCCATTCTCAATCAATTTTATCACTGGCATGCTTTTAGATACGACACTTTCATCGTGTATCTTTCCAGTAGATTTACTTGTTGACTTACAAAATGCTAATCATATAATTCCATTTGCTGAAAATAGTGACAAAATGCAATCTTCTGGACACCTTAGGCAACACTGTAAGCGTGTTCAGGATATAATCCCCCCCAAATCCGAAATGTTGATTCAGGATTGGCTTGCATCGGTACTTAAACTAGTGATAGGGAGTGAAGTAGTTGAGTGTATCGGTCGCCTTACTTATCTTGGAAGTCTCATCAGTGCTCATGCCCTGGTGACTGACGAAATCTCAGCACCAACAGAAGGCACGATTGGCTTTGCCAACTTGTCACCCACAGCATAAGCAAGATATCCGTCTGCTAACCAAAGCAGTTACCTCCGTCCTACTATACGGGTTTGGAATATGGTCACTAAAAATAGAGGATATTCGTAGGTTACTTGTATTCGACCATAGGTGTCCCCAAAGCATCACTCGTAAATCCTGGTTACGCAATACGTGTCACGAAAAGGGTACTAGGTCAAGATGGTAGATCGATTGAAGCAGTGATTCTCCATCAAGTGAGGTGGGACATGTGTTACGTATTCGTGATCACCGACTACCTCAAAGAACGATGTTGCCTGATGTAGGTTGCGAGAAAGCTAGGGGGGTCACACCAAAAACATGGTACAAATCCACGAAGTCACTGACAAGTGGACTGAGCGAAGTTGTATATTGACTGGTTGAGTTCAAGATGATTATCGTAACAGGTAATTAAAAGATATAAATGACATGGCTAAAAATCGTTTGCAATGGCTCATATACATCCATTCTTAGTAAATCGATTTCTTTAAAAAATAACTGATACAAAATAAACAAATATACATGAGCCGAACAAACAGCCTAACTCCCGACACAATGAAGCATGTACACAGAAAGAGATAAGTCTATTCCATAAAAGTAGTTGTTAGATGAGATCATTGATCATCCCATGAATTTAACTCCTGAATATCAGATCACTATTTTTTTTGTCATAATGCGATCAAATAAGAAATAAATCTTCATGGGACTTAACATCTTTTTGCGAAATAGCATAAGTGTGCCTCAATCCATCTAGTATAACTATTATGAAGTTAAGCTGTTTCAAAACTCAGTTATCAACAAAGAGCACATAAGATCACATTATTATTTCCCAGCTATTAGTTGATCTCCCTCTCCAAGTTATTTTTAATGAGGCTAAATAATTGTTCTCAAAGTTGTTTAGTGTCATCAAACGGATAAACTAGTGAAACTGTTTCATTGAATTCTGATTCCTCTATATTAAAGTAAATAACTGAATTTCGCATGATGATCCGATGTAAACTTAATGAATTCACTAGTGTAATGTTATTATGGTTTCCAGTAAGCAGTGTATAAATACCTTCTGATTGAAGAAATAAATAAACGGCATGTGAAAGCGAATTTGTTTCATTTTAAGCATCAGCAGGTTCCAGATTCGAAAATGTCATGAATTAAAGTTAGAGAAATATTCATTCAGTACAACCTTAATGTCCTTATGGAAGTTTGCTGACTTCTAAAAACATGCTGAAAAAGCTCTTGATTAACATGTGAATGCGTATTGCTTAAATAATCTCAATTTAATACACGTCGGTCATAACCACGTCTTACCTGTCTCCATTCATACAACCATATCACTGTTGACTTAAAACCCTGGGGTTACAGGCTTGAACCTCACTTTTTAATAAATCGTATTATATGCTTAGTTTCTTACGCAGGTAGATACTATTCCTTTGAGTTCTAGGCAAAACATATTTCTAATTTCTTTCCACTCTACTGATATGCTATGATAAGTTGAGCTAATACTACTTTGTTTTTGACTGATTAAGCAAAACGAAATATGATAAAATAAGCTGGTACTTATATTGGGAAGGTTAAATGTCAGTCAGTTGCAGCGTAGAACGTACGTATGTACATAAGTTCAGGTTGCCATACCACATTAACACAGAGACGCAAATGTCAAATCAAATCTCATAGTAGAGGTATTAACGGTAATGAAAAAGACTAAGGGGTTTGAAGATATTATTCAAGAAGTATAATTCAGTGAGATAATGTTAGGTAGACAAAGGCAGAGGTGCTGACGATTCCAGAAGATTAGGATTTGAGAGAACACAAAGAATGGATGCACTTGCGCCATTGCAAACGATTTTGAGCCATGTCGTTCAAGGTCTCTAACCATTGGTGACTTTCGTCTCGCGGACGCCAACCAGGTAGTCTACATCTACCAACATGACTCAATCCACTTGTCAATGACTTCATGGATTTCTGCCATGTTTTGGTCTGGCTGCCCCTAGCTTTCTTCCAACCTACTCCTACACCACAAAACATAGCCCGTCGAGGCAGTCGGTGGTTAGACATTTGTAACACATGTCCCATTGGAAGAAAGTTAGGGGCGGCCAGACCAAAACATGTCAGAAATCCATGAAGTCATTGACAAGTGGATTGAGTCATGTCGGCAGTTGTCGACTACCTGGTTGGGGTCCGTGAGACGAAAGTCACCAATGGTTAGAGACCTTGAACGACATGGCTCAAAATCGTTTGCAATGGCGCAAGTGCATCCATTCGTTGTGCTGTCTCAAATCCTAATCTTCTGGATTCTTCAACAACTCTAGTTTTGACTTTCTGAAATTTTCTCATTGAATCATACTTCTTGAATAATATCTTCTAATCCTAACCTCTCCGATTAATTCAAAACCTTTACTACCTCTACTACTATTGGATTTGAATTGACAATTATATCCCTGTGCTGATATGGTATGGCAACATGAACTGATGTACTTACGTACGAAGTTCTACGTTGCATCTGACTGACTGAACAGATGTCCCAACCACCTCAACTGATGAAGTTTCACCACTTCATCTATTGATCTACCGTCGTAGTGTGAAGATGTGGTCTATACAACCACGCCCACGTCTGAAACCAGACTGGTTTTCTCGAGTCTGCTCTTCACGAGCTCTAGCTAGGCGTTTAAGTATAATGGAGGCTAACAATTTAGGAACTATATTAGTTAGACTTATTCCCCTGTGATTGTCACAAGAGGACTTTTGTCCTTTCTTGTAGATTCGGACAATTAGCGACTGAGACCAGTCAGATGGGATTACGTCCAGTTCCCAGATTCTAACTAAGATCTCGGTCAGTCTAACTGTTAAAACTGGGTAAGCCTATCAGGACCTGCAGCTCGCCCTCGCTTCAGATTTCCTATAGCTTTCTCAACTTCATGTAGACTAGGAGGACTTAAATCGATTTGCCATTCAGGATGACTGGAGATCGTGGGTAACCGAAGAGTGGCTGAAGGCCAATTGTACTGGTCACTTAAGCGTTCTGCCCATAGGTCCAATCTCCTGAATTGAGAATAAATGATACAGACATCCTTTCCTAAGATAGTCTCACTCACATTCGGGTTCCTAATACCGGTTTCTTTGATAAGTCGGAAAAGTTGTCTAGTGTTTCCTATCGCCGCTGACTCTTCCATCGCTATTGCTTTCGCCAACCACCACTGTTCGCGGTCGCTACGTAGGCTTGTTTGTACTAGGTCGTATGTTCGTGGTAACTGACGGAAGTCAATAATGGATTCCACAAATAAGTACGCATTAAAGAAATATCACGAATAGATCTCGTCTTCGTTTAAACAGCAAATAAAGGCAATAAATGTCACCATTTATCCTAAAGTTGTACACTACAGAAGGATTTTTAGAAATATTTTTAAGCAAGATATTTACCACCATTGATATCAGCATTTAAATAAAAAGTTTCAAGTTAGATCGATAGGCTTATATCAGAAAATCTACCAAGTTATTTAACTGTACAATAAAATCATTACACCAAATACGTTTACTCAAAGGATCACTGGACGGAAAATAACTGGTCCACTTGTCGTCAGTTTTGAATGAATTGCCGAAAATCTGTTTCAAATGAAACAATTTTATTGCATCACATTCATCAGCTAACATATTCTTGAAGGAATCTATTACATTCAAAATATTTTGAATTGACACAGCTTTATATGAGTGACGACTGTTCAGGATATACTGGTGATTTAGAATGGTTTCAACAAACGAATTTAAAGCAGAAAATAGATAATCCGTTGAATGATTAAATTTGTCTCTAGCATCGAATGATTTCTCTTGATATTTACCAACAGCTAGTTTTGTGGAAACATTTAGACGTGTTTCAATCAGTTCATTCAAAATTGGTAGTGAAAAATATGGTTGAACATCAGCCAGCAAACTATCTTCCTTACGACTTTCATACAGGCGTTTGCAAGACTTTGTAAATAAATTAAATGCAGATTCCCATTCTCGAATAGCTTTAGATATTGTTTGTATGTGATCAGGATACTCATAGGAGTTAGCTGAAACACCTAAAATCAAAGTAACAAACATGAACAACTCAAAAGACTATGATGATATAAAATTAGGTGATTCATTAAGCTAAATAGTACAAATGAAAAACAATATTAGTTTCTAGTTTGATCTTTAATAATTTTCTGGTCCTTTGAATAAATGGTTTCAATAGTTGAATATTAAGCAGTGTAAATATTAATAAACCCGATGAGATGTGCATTTTCCTGAAAGCATTTAATATAAAGGAAAAATTACCTCAATATTTACACATAGCAAAGAAACACAAGTTGCTCAAAAAGTCGACATTCTAGACTGAAATAAAAAAAAACTGACAGCGAATATTGCACATGGACTAGAAAATTAAATGTCACAAATGAAGGTTCTAACCATACTGAAATATTCATTTTATGTTTAAATACACTGGTATCTAATAGTGCTCATTGTTTGTAGTACTCAACGTCTTTCTAGTCAGTGAGACCTAGTTTGAATATTCCATCACCAATTATTTTTACACCTCTACGGAAGCACTGGCACTAGCAGGAATAATCTATCAAAGACCAATTTTTCGGTGAACTAGAGACTTCATAAAGAATATATGCTTTTTCGAGTTACTTCACAAATATTACAAGTAAATGGTTATTCCCCACAATACAATTATTTGAAATATTCTTTCGAATGATTGTTGTTTGTCCTCTTAACCCGAAACTTGAGAACGCTGCAGAAACGTTTACAAAAATTTTTCACACCCACTGATGTGCGCAGTACTCTACGGCGAACCAAAGGAACTCTTCAATAGAATACATTATGTTGGAACGGCTTAATGGTAGATTTGCCTAAATTGTATTTTAATACTTCTGTAAAATACAAGGATTCATTACAAAATCACTTGGTACAGCTGAGAGTAAGGATAATCATCCCCTAAATGCTCTCATATGACCATGTGTAAATGGTTATTGCCAGGAAAGTCCTTCTCACTGTCTTCTTGTGGCGAAAGTGTTGATTAAGAAATTCAGAGAACGAAAAGAGTGTCATGTGCTTTAGCCGCGTTGGTGAGTATGGAACATCCAGTCAGCCAGTCAGTTACAACGCAAAACTTCGTACGTAAGTACATCAGTTTGAGTTGCCGTATCACACTAGCACAGAGACGCGATTGTTAATTCAAATCCCATAGTAGTAGAGGTAGTAGAAGTATTAGCAATAACCGGAGAGATTAGGGAGCTGTGTAAAAAAAAGATAAAGGTAATGAAAAATCCAAAGGATAAGGATTTGAGAGAAGACAAAAATGGCTGAACATGCACCACTGCAAACGATTTTGAGCCATTTCATTCAGTCTCTAACTACTAGTGACTATCATCTCGCGGACCCAGACCAGGTAGTCTACACGTAACAACATGACTCAATCCAACTGTCAGTGACTTGATAGATTTGTGCCACGTTTTGGTTTGGCCGCCCCTAGCTTTCTTTCTACCTGCTTCTACACCACAAAACATAGCTCGACGAGGCAGTCGTAACACATGTCCCAACCATCCAGCTATGGGAGTTGGAAAACCTTGATTTCAAACCAATGAGCATAGGCACCAGAATCCTGACGGAACGAATGATGTGTGGTCCTACTGTCGGTCACCGGTTACCATGAAACTGCATCTCCTAACGTTGCTCCATTACTTTGTGGATTAGACTTTTGGGTCAATAGCTCGTGGAGTGGCCCCCTAAGAAAACCATCTGCCTTGGTTTAGGTGTTCAGGCAGTATCCCAACTCACTCAAAAACTCGGCAATTGGTGTGACACATAAATATTTAGGTGGCTCATTTGTACGTGTTTAAAAAAATATCTGTAAATCCAAAGGGGGATTGAGTGACGATAAAACTGGGAAAAAATGAAGCTTTAAAACAGAGATATGGAAATGATGTTACTATTTTCTTAGTCTTCATCAATTCCAAATCCTCTTGAGTAAGTACTGAACTGTACGGTGCTGGAGACAATTAAGTTAATATCCTGTTGCCTTTCGTACCACATTCTTCACGGGAATTTTCCAAATAACATATAATTATGAGAATGGCAAATGTAAAAAACTCGACAAATAAGATGGCTATGAATATTACCTGTAACGTTCAGTTTGTGGTACGTTTGCATCTAGCCTGAAGGTAGTTGTGTGCTGGATGAGTGTAAGGAGCAGTATGCGTGAGAACAACAAAAAATTATAGTCTTCACTAGTAAGGATAGGTTAATCAACCTATATTAACTAATTCTGGCTATGCATAGTACTTGGAAGATCCAATCTCAGGTGATATTACGTGATCTCGTAAAGATTTCCAATCCACTGCACGATGTAAGGAATGAAACTCTAGACGTACAAGATTTGATCTCGGTTTCCCACAATATCTTCTCAGATGGTCAATCCTAGATGGAAGGGAAAAATGAAACATTAATACTGAAACTATCGTCCCGTATACTATTAGCCAGTACTAAATTACCACACAACCTGTGGTAAAATAACAAGTTGGTTAGGGCGTCTCAAACAGTAGAACGTCCCACCTACTATTTAACAACTGTGTTTGGCTCTATCTAGAGTATGAAGATATATTGTTTCCTTTGTTAATCCAAGGGGACAAGAAAACATTGGGACGTATCCTAAGGCGAGCCACGAAATCAAAAGACCAAAGTTCTAACCCTTTGAAGAGCGCCTCTTCACCAGTTAGAGTATAGAAGTCTCAGAGGTGACCTAATGACTCATAGCATTATAAAGACTCCTGAACATCTAAAATATCAAGTATCAACACAAACCTTAGAAATACCAAAAGACAAGAAGTTCATCATGGCAAAATGGACTACAAGAACACATTTTACTCTCTACAAATAGTCAAATATTGGGATCTGACACTGACTGAGGTGGTAAAAGCGACCTTCCTGGTGTTTTTCAAGAAGAAACTTAGAGAATTTGGACAGCATTTCATTACAATCTACTAATATTTCTGTTTCACTGATTGAATATACCTAGGTTCCTACCTAGAACAGTGATGATCCACTGTTGCTCAGAAGCCCGTTAAGCGGAAGCTTCTATTCCGTACACAACCATTTGAATCATTTAACTGTATTCATAAAATAGTTCAGTGACATATTTCACCATTTTGGCCTTTCAATCTAACTCGTACTAGCATATCTGCTTCATACTTGAACTAAGGACACACTGCTTGAATCTCATGTTCCGAACGCGACCTCACAAACGTCGGGCGTAATATCCTAGACATTTATTCATTCAAGTAATGAAATAACTTTCAGGTGACTTCTAAATTTTTGTAATCTATCACGTTAAGCAAAACCATTTCACTAATTGTGAGGTCACATTATTGGTTGCAGTCATTTGTATCACTACGCTCTTGATAGGATTAGCTAACGACCACCCATTCATCTAATCTAACAGTGAATTTAGGTCGTCCTGTAATATTATCCTATCTAAAATACAGCGTGTGAGCCTTTGAATTTTGATATTATCAACAGAGTAGTAACAGCGACATTGCTACAGTTGGCAAATCGTTTACATAGAGTACAAAGATGCTCTAAGATTGAAATTTCGGGAACTCGACCTTCTACTACAACATCTACTACTATGTTGATAAGGTCCCATTTACTTGTGCCCTAACACTAAGAAAGTCACTTATAAGGCTATTAATCCCATTAGGAATCCAAAGCCTCTTTGTTTATAATTTAGGACGTCGATGAGAGACTCCGTCGAAGGTTTTACTTAGATGAATGGAAATTACATCTGCCGGAATATGACTATGATTCACTTCAGTCAAATTTTCTCTTGCAGTGAGGACACATGCTAAGCACGATAAGCTTTACCTAAGACCATCTTATTTCCCGGTTGAAAAAATTATTCCCATCCATGTGGTTTAGAGTAGCCGTCAGAACAACATTCTCTACTAGAATGACATCTAACGGGTAAACCGTTGGTAACTGTCTTTACCTGTAATTTATAAGTCGAACTGATAAGTGACTTCACGAATCTGACTGCTATGGGGTTCCTAAAATAATGGGGGTCTAAGTTGTTATCTACGTATGAATTGACCCACAACTTTTCCTGCACCCATTCTCGTCACTTCTTTGTCAGTTGCGTCCCGATATCCTGAAGTGACATAAAAATCATGGACTAACCAGATCATAGTTATGGTGGGCTGCTTTAACTTACTCACGAATACTTTCAGTGTATGGAGTTTATTTTCTCGACTATGAGCATCCCAGTATAAAATACCCGGACGGAACAACCTGTCTTAACTGTTCTTGGTAGTATTAGCTACCAAGACCTGACAACCAGAAAACTCAACAAGCAAAAGCCCCCCAGTTGACAGATTGTTAAAGCTGTCTTCTTTCTTATTTTATCTTCTAGAGATACATCAGGTCTTACTTGAATTGCAATATTAAAAGTACCTCGAATTTGCTCACTAGTTGACAGAAATTTCATCCTTTGGCTCTAGACAGTGAGCCAACGACTCACAAAGCACTTACATTTAATAAAGAAGGCAATCAACAGCAAATAGTAAGAAAAGTAGGGTGAAAATGAAACAACTTGGTAACTTGAACCAGAAGTTGGTAGCGTCTACTTTTGAATCCGTTATAGACCCGACCTTCGAGTTATCAAATATCCAATATCTTTTTCATGAGCTAGTATAAATCAGTTGATTTCTTTGCAGTCGATCCTTATTCTTCAGTACGGTTCCAGGTATTTCGCAGTGTCCAATGTATGGTGGTCTAGCCACTCGACTGCCTGATTCGATCCAGTTAGCTGTTGTTTGTGAGTTTGTATTTACCGTAATCCCATTAATTACGATTGTTTTAGGGCATTTAGGTTACTGGATACCAACAGCTACCACATTACCAGGTCGGAGATCAGCCAGTTGCAATATTGAGAATAATAGTAAGAAAATTCTGATACTAATAGGATCTCGGAACTATATAAATATATATAGTTTAGTTTATTATTCGATAGTGAAGAAAGTGTAATCCTATACTCAATATCTTTTTCATCACGTCAGATAAAACCAATTGGTTCTTTTTTCACTGGCTTCGTGTTCTTTCGGTACGGTTCCAGGCATTCGTTAATTTTCAGTGGATGGTAGTTTAGGCACTCCTTCATATCCCAACCATCTTCTAAATATACGCGTACACCTCTTCACTCTTGAGTTCCGGTTAGAATTGGTTTTATGTTTTCACTAATTTTAAGACGAAAGCACTGCCAAACTCCGGATATCCATGACATCTTTATTTGTGAGCTCCACCTAATATTGTACGTTGAACGTAATACTGTGATTGCATTGCGGGGTTGTTGTGAAGATTGTTAAGTTTTATTTGTAACCATGAGTCGACCAAGGTTGATGACTCCCACACCAGAAAGAAACGACCGTCCAGTGCTTCCAGGTTTCTAATGGTGGTCTAACATTGATCGATTCATAGTTACAAGTAATACTGTAAGCCTGTCCCCAGTAATAGGCTACAGATAGTTATTATTCTTCATTCTTCTCTCATACTGATAAATAATCTATTCCTATTATGACGGGTAACACAAGTTGCTCTCATTGAGGACTCCTACGTTAGTGAACTCTGAACTCATGACATTCTGGTCTGACTACATTACTCTGTAGAAGCTGACTTTCACAAACGAGTCGAGATGGTCCCACTTGCCATCTTCTTCGCTGTAATCAAGGCACTGGCGTACGAGTTCAACCGGCACGGTCCACCTACGATGTTTACTAGTGATGTTTCCAAAACGTACGACACCATAAAATAAGCTACTCTTGTGGATGAATACCTAACTGACCAACGAAGCTCAGACAAAGTAATCGACAAAACCAGACTTCAACACTGCTCGGCAACCAAAATGTTGCTACTTCTGAATGAGTTCACTGGTAAAGTTTCGGCTTAGTCTTTTTGCGATAGCTATTTCTATGTAGACTTTCCCAACAGCGGGAAGCAACACTCGTCTCATTTCAAATAATGTCGATTAAAACCTGCACCTATCCACTGGATTATGGAGATAATCAGAACACTCAGTTCCAGAGAATGTTCTGTTAAGCAAGCACCTAGAATGGATGGAGTCCAAAACTTACAGATCTCTGTAATAAATTAGCACGCTTCCTGAATTTTCGGCAGGATCACGAATGCCCAATGATTCTAGAGAAAGAGCTGAATAGTTCGAAATGGTGTTAAATACTACAACACACTTGAAAAATCTTCTCCAAGGTGTTAGAAACCCTACAATTTCCCTAACCCTAAATCTCTTGTCACAAACATTCCTGGAAAGCCCTACCACTGTCGCGTCAATGGCAACGGTGGTTAGTGTAAACCACAGGCTCCTCTACATCATCGACGTGACAACGAAAGTTCGCTATTTCGTCGACGCCGGCTCAGAAGCTAGCGTTCTTGCAGCAGACAGAGGCGGTTATTTACGTTATCCAGTTTATATTCTACAGGAGGCAAATGGTAAATTGATCGCCACTTATGCCAAAAGGTACATTTACCTCGACATGTGTTTTCCCAGAACCATTCACCGGATTTATGTTGTGGTTAGTGCGCTAATGTCAATTATTACTATAAGCCTGTTACAATGTCATAACTACTCTTCAAACCAAGTAGACAGAGGTTAGTAGATGGTGAAACTTAATTATCTGTTCTAGCGGTTTCGTTCTCTAGTTGTCGGTTATCCCTAATCGAGAGGTTAACACATATTCGGCCCATCGTTTCAATCAATACTGAACAGCTGCCCGAAACTGCACTAAACACAAACCAGTAATGCTGCACACCATACCGCTACTGCACGATTACCTGTATTCGCAAAAGCCCGAAGATTAGCTCTTCAAGGGATAAGACTTCTAAAATTTACCCACACAACTGATTTGTGGTTCGTTCGACCGTTGAACTGTTTATGGACATCTCCGCTGCACATGGTCCTGGAAAAGGAAAGCAATTATTAGCGTCCTATTGGTGATAATGGACTGCTGGATACGAAAAGCCTCGATTTTTCGAATTAACAGCTCTCTAGAAAAGTACAACCGTCGTTCCAAAAATAGACTTGGTTAAAGCGTATAACCTAATACCTACGGATGTGGATGACACTTCTAAAATAGCTATCATCACTCCTTATTGATTCCACGAATTTCAAGTAGGCCATTCGGCTCAGGAAATGCTGCTTGATCTCTTCACGAATAATTTTACGATATTCTTACAGATCTCGACTTCGTTCATGGTAAGGTTGAAGACTGTCAAACAAAAAATTGATACTCACGGTATCCGCCTTCTGGAAAATGAGGTAGTAGACATTGTGGATTATCAAGAATAAATCAAAGTCAAGTGACTACTCAAGTTTGATGGAAAGGTAAGTTTTCGCCGACGGTTCATATCGGGCTACGGGTTTTTCATGAGACCGTTAACCGATAAAATACATGTTAATGCGGAAACCATTAACTTAGATGTTACCATGAAGAATGAAGGCGCAGATTGGCGGAACAAGGGCTGCATTTCTACAACTGAACAACATTTGAAACTCAAAACAACAATCAATCAACACCAGCGTCAGAATTTTCAGTGCTAAGGTCAAGACTGTTCTACTGTATGGGGTGGAAACTTGGAAAACTATGAAATCCACCATCCGGAAGATACAAATTCTGGTTACTTGTTTTCTGCTCAAAATACTTGGGATTCTTTGGCCCGACACAATCAGCAACAACCTAATGTGGGAAAAAACAAACCAGATTACAGCGGAGGAGGAAATCATAAGGAAGCGCTGGAGGTGGATGGGACACATATTGAGGAAAGCACCCAAATGCATTACAAGACAAGCCCTCAACTCGAATTCTCAAGGCCAACGGAAAAGTGGTAGGCCAAGCAACATATTACGCTAAGAAATGGGGACAGACATCAGAAGAATTAATAAAATATGAACAGGACTGGAAAGGGAAGCTAAAGACAGAGTAGGTTTAAGGATACTGGTCGGCGGCCTATACTGAATTGTAGGTAACAGGCGTAAGTAAGTAATACTACAAGGAGAGCCTTTTCCACAGTGAAAGAATAGATCTCTTGACTAACAAGTTTTGCACACTGAGATACTGGAGAATACATTAGTGTCGCAGCTGACGCGTCTACTGAGAAATCGGAAGAGCAATACAGTAATGAGTAAACAGTTCTTGGCAACTTTTACTATCCGTACCGAGATGGTTACAGGAGGTTGAATTTAAACGTGGCTCATTGAGCAGGCAACTCCTGGTTTTATATTATGCTGTACTACATTTATAACTCTACATGGAAAACAAGGAATTCACACCATAAATCTTTAACTTTTTCTCTGAGCTCGTCTTCAGACAAGTACTCAGTACAAGTCTCAACATTCAGACGCTAGTGGACGAAACAAACTATTAGAAGTGTTTACAACCTTAGGTTTAAACGTCTGGGTATTCACATCCTAATGTAATCACTACACCACTAGGTATTAGTGAGCTGTAGCGGTAAATTAATCGCCAAAATAGATAGTTCTGTAAGTCTTCGACTTGGATGCTGACCTCATTAATTCTAACTGATGCATATTAACTGGGAGTTTTTAGTTACGCATACGTACCAAACCACTGTTTGTTTGCCGTGAGACAAAACAACAAAATTAATACTTCATTATCATATTAGAATAAGCTATATTGCGATCTTTTCATTTTTATTTATTAAGATAAATAGCTTTATCTATTTATTGTTGAAATGTTTTCCAACCGTTATTTCCTACGATTTTAATCATGCCCCAACTAAATCGATAACGTTTATGAGCACATTACTTTTGACCCACATTCAGCATTTTGCTTCATAATAATACTGAATCCTGCTTTGATAGCAGTTCTTTTACTAATTGATAAGAATAGCTTTAAGTGTTAGTCATACGTTTGTAATTGTTGGTTAGTTGAATAATTTCGAATGCTGTCTCTAACCAAAGATGTTTATTGGCGATCGAGTCAAGATTGACAATGATCACCACTAAATTTTAATTGCGAACCCGTTATAAATGAATTTTCTACCGTAGCAGTTCAATCGGTTTCCAGTAAGTGCAATTGGAACGCGTTATCTCCCAATCCACTGTCTTAAAAACACAATAATTCTAGGAGAAAACGGTCTATCTTATATTAAAATGGAAATACAAATCAATACCTGAAGTTGATGCACTTTCCAAGTCACAATTACTCCGAGGAGTATCCAAGTTAAAGGGAATAAGTCCAACCGCCACAGTATCAATCCAAATATGGCTGTAGCCATATTAAAGATCAAATTTAAACAACATATGTACAGTTCAGAAGCAAACATAAAAACTTCAATATAAGTACAAAATATAGAAATAATAACAATATACAATGATAAAATCTCAAATTGGAATCAAATAAAATACCAAAATGTCAACAGAAAAAGTCCGTCATGTCATAACAAATATATATAAACATGGAGGGATTTTCCAAAAAACAAAACATTCAAAAAAGAT